TTTGGTAAGTATAAAACAAATCCAACTTATGCACCGGCCATTAATGAAATGATTTTAAAATTTAAAAAGTATTTTTTCCCTATTCCCGAAGTTTATTTAATTTCTACTTTGCTTAACCCATCTTTAAAACTAAGAGGTGCAAAGGGACTTGTTCGTAAAATTTATGAGAATTTAGAAATTCAAGAAAATGAACAACCATCTCTCGAAGATTGCCAAGCTAGCATATATTCTTATGCTAGATCAATGTTTGATAAATATAAATTTATAGATACAACTGGTTGTGAAATTGCTCCTTCTACTTCTAAGTCTAGAGCAGAAGTTTTATGGGAAGATATGGATGATATAACAGGTTTTGATTCCTCTATTAATGATGAACTTGATTCTTATCTTAATCAAGGGTTGGAAAGTATTAAAGACGAAGAAGGCAAGGAACAACTTTTGTCATGGTGGAGGGAGCGTGGCAAGGCTTTTTCAACACTTTCAATTATGGCCCGAGATATCCTGGCTATTCAAGCATCATCAGTAGCATCAGAGAGTGCTTTTAGCGCGGCAAGATTTCAAATTGGAGATCATAGACATTCATTAGCGGAGGACAGTCTAGAGATTTCCGTATTGTTCAGAGATTGGATTAATTCAGAAATAAGAAATCTTGGTTTTGAAAACTTAACCACTAGGGAAGAAGAAGAATACAATGAGATACTTACCACTGGGAGCGATGACGGCATGGAGCTCATGGAACATCAATCAACATTGCCAATTCCATTAGAATGTCCGAGAGATATTATTGATAAATTACAAAGAAGTTATATAGGAGCTTACAAATATTAGTATGATAATTTGTAATTGGCTACTAAGAGGCCTAGTTCAAACAGAACCCTTCCTAGAAGGTGGCTGCGTAGATTATGTGCTCTTCAAAAGAATTATATTTGTATTTGAGATTTGAAAGTTCTATTAATAAAATAAATGGCTCTAAGAGTTGAATTTTTTTTATGAATTGTCTTAGTTGCTTAATAGTTAATACTTTGAAATTATATTAAATAAATTATAACTCTATTATAAATTTATAATTACTAGAGTATTTCATTACAAGTCTTTTGTTTTAATATTTTATAATTCTTTACTTAGTTTTCTAATTTTCGTTTTAACATAGTAACATTTAAGTTTATTAAATAAGTCAAAAATCTAGCCGTTGCAAACTTTAAAAATATAGTAATTTTCAAAAAACTAGACGTTTTTTTTAATTAAAAAAATACAATTAAGGCCCACGAACCCGTCCCGTCCCGTCCCGTTCCGTCCCGTCCCATCCCGTTTGTTAGCGGGACGGGATGGGATGACCGTTTCGTCCCGTTTGTCCCGTCCCGCCACCGTCCCGCTTAAATGTCGTTCCGTCCCATTGGACAGCCATAGCCCAAAGTAAATTGATCATTTATTGTGGACCGGAGGGAGTAGTAAGAGACATGTGAGAGAGATGTAAACTTGCAATTACATGTGAACTAATATATTTTATATATACCATTAAATCCAAGAAAAGAAAGAATAAGTACTCTCTACCTTCTAAATGACCACGAAGAGTTTTTTGTTGTTGTAGTAGGTTAACTTAACCTAAAAATTCTCAAAACTCTCTGCAAGGTTCCTCCTATCTGGACTGGATTATGTTTTAACTAAATCAATGGAGAGACACTTTGATGTAAAAAAAAAAAAAAAAAAAAAAAAAAAAAAAAAAAAAAAAAAAAAAAAACTTAAGTCAATAATAGGGATATAACATCAGAAACTGAAATTCATTGAATTCGAAAAGTAAATTGAAAGAGAGAAACAAAGCGTTAGATTCCTGTATCAAGATATAAAAACGAACAAATACCAATGTGCGAGGCTAGCTGAAACGACACCAAGTAGTACATAGAACTCCTCTATATATATAACTTAATTTTCCAACTAGTTCTCATTATTCAGAAACAAGAGAGAAACATGGATATGATCAAAGTTGGCCCAGCGGGGGGACGTGGTGGAACCATTTGGGATGAAAAAGGACGAGACCAAGTCGCTGGGGTTCTTGTTTCATACAGCAAAAACGCAATTCTTTCACTTCAGTTCCTGTACCATGAGAATAGCAAGTTAGTTCCGTAAAATAAACATGATTGTAATACATGTAGTCAAAGCTCGTGTGCAGTTGTTTTTGATTATCCATCAGAATTTCTTACTTCGATCAGTGGTTCCTTCAAATCTCTTAATTCGTTAAGTGGTCCCGACAAATCAATTTTGAACACTAAAAAATTTGGGACAAACAAGGGTTCCTATGGACCATTTGGGACCCTTCTATTACTGATGGTGACAAGGACTTCAACTTTCAGACAGGAAATCATCGGCATCTCGGTGGTTTTCATGGCACTGAGTGTTCGTCTAACATTGAGAGTATTGGGGTCTATGTGAAGACCATAATATCCCCTATGATCAAATTTGAAACATCCACGAGTAAAATCTGAAAAGGAAGAAGATTAACTCAAGATTCTTCCCTATGATCAATGGTTTGATAAAATATTTTATGTACAACTGGGATTGAACTAGTTAATCTTCGACATTGTACACCTTTTCAATATTATCATGCAAATCAAATGGGTGTGGGACATAATTCATCTTTCAACCCTTATTTATGAAGACCAAATGAACAGTACTAATATAATCTCGCCATGCTAAAATCTATGTCAGTTCTTATTGTATTCTTGGCCATTGTTATGCACTTATTTAGTCATACAAGAAATGTTTACTATGATACATTCTCGTATTGTTTTCTTGACCTTTTATGTTTACGTTGTTGCCAGCGATGGCGGACGCACGTGGTGGCAAGCGTGTTAATACTATGTATATGTATAAATTACGATTAAAGCAGCGTAAATTTTGTATAAATATTTTATTTGAACCCACTTGACAACTACTATTTTATGACTAATTAAAATTATGCATTTCAAAGATTAAACTCGCTTGCACAAAATCCTGGGTCCCTGCTGGTTTCCTGTAGTATATGTCTAAAACCTCATACGCTAAATTTTATAATGGTGTTTGTATAAAAATAACCCTGAAAAGGAAGTGTTGATTGTTAATGCAACCTATCCCAAGTCGTATTTGCATGAAAAAACTGAACGGACAAGTTTGAGAGATCAAAGAGAGAAAATCATACACTTCGTCAATTTTTTTTTTTTTTTTTTGCTTCTTTATTTATTAAGTTAACAATAGAAAATCATACACTTCATCAAAGTTAACAAGAGCTAGCTGAGTCGGTTGGGTGAGTCGTTTCCCACATGGGGGATCTTGGATCGATTTCCTTCAGTAGCAGCCTCTTCAGTCCGAGGCTCAGAGCTCGTCGCACCGGGCTTACCAAATGCGGTTTACATTTTCTCTGTGGTTTACGAGCTATTGCACATTGAGCAGGTTATCCAGTGCACACCCGAAGGGTGACAGCTGCGAGTTTCCTTAAGAATTTTCCAAAAAAAAAAAAATAGAAAATAATTTTACGTTATCTTTTATCTCAAAGGCATTAATGAGAGTGGCTAACAAGTAGCAAGCAATGCATATTTCTTGTAACATATACTAATAATGTTGGTTTTTTGCAATCATAAGTCCTCTAGTTTAATTTAGGGCTGTCAAACCTTGTGGTAGAGCTTTTCCGCGACTAGTTTGAGTTGTTTTCACGTGATTTCTCATGCATAAGGTCGAATAAGTGTTTCCAGTTCCCTAGCCTATATGCTTAAGTGCAATTTCAAGTCTGTAAAAATAAATTGTTCTGTTTTATTTTTGAATTTCTAGTAATGGCTAAATTTGTTGAAACTAAATAGTATATATTAGATGATGAAAATAAATGGTTCTATTTTCGCAGATTTTTTCTGTCCGAAGACGAAAGAAAATGAATGACTCATATTCTATCCTAAGATTTGAGTACGTGGTCTAAAGCAATTCTTAGTCTCATTTTATCCTAAGATTCGAATTACGTTCTAAAGTAATCTTTGAACCCCTTCTGCCGCTAAAATAGACTTTTCTCGGGGGATTCAACAATTCATATATAGTTAAAAAAATTATTTTTGTCTTATGTATACGGTATAATTACCTCGCGAAGGGGATTAAACTGAACCCCTAATGAGCACAAGCTAGGTCCGCCCCTCACAACAATAGTGTAAGTGTGTAACTATCATGTTGAAAATGTAAGACCATTTGAGATCTTGATCGTAGTCATCAATTAAGTTAGCCTTGAAATTTAATTCTTCTTAAGCTACGTCCTGCCTTGGACCAGCTAGGTACATTAATGGCGTAGAAGCTGAGCTACGAGTTAGGCCGAACTCAACATGATCAAATATTGTATGTGTTAAGAAAAATATTAAATGTGTATAAATATTAAATTTAGAACTCAGTCATTAATACTTGAAGTTCGCCGTTCTAAAATTCAGAACCACAAGGTTGATATCCTAGCTCCGCCTCTAGCTAGGTAATATTTTTTTTAATATTAATATGGAACAACCTTTAGTTATCAAGAATGAATTTAATTAACCAACAGGAATACAAACATTGATCACCAAAATTAAATTGGAAGATACTTCCTCCGATTCAAAATAAGTGATTTTTTAGCTGTTTTCACACAGATTAAGAAATTCACCTTTTAACATTAATTAGCAATGAAATTGATCATATTAACCTTTGCTATCTCTTCACATAAATACTCCTAACACATACTCCAACACTATTTACTCTAAGGGCAATGTAGGAAAAAAATAATTAATATATTCTTGAAATCTGAAAAAATCACTTATTTTGGACCACAAAAAAAAGGCCAAAAAAATCACTTATTTTGGACAGGAGAGATTAGTAATAACTAAGAGTCAGAATCCTATTTCGAGATCAGAAGAACAAATACCAATGTGTGTGACACTGAAAGGCCCCCAAATACTGAAACGTCTCGAAGAAAACCTCTTTATATAACTTGATCTTTCAACTACTCCTTTGAGAAAGAAGAAAATATGGATATGATCAGTGCTAGTGCAGTGGGAGGAGAAGGACTACGTGGATCCAAATGGGATGAAAAGGGACGAGGAGAAGTAGCCCAGAATTTTGTTTCCTACAAAGATAATCGTATAGTTATTTCACTGCAGTTTCTGTTCTTTGAGAATGGCAACCTAGTTTTGTCAAAACCACATGGTTATGGTTATGGTCATGGTTCTAACTTCAACGCAGTTGTCTTGGATTATCCATCAGAGTTTCTTACTTCGATACGTGGTTCATTCGGATCATGGGACGGATATAGTGTTTTGAACTCAATATCATTTGGCACGAACAAAGGTTCTTATGGACCATTTGGGGGTACCCCTTCAGCTGATGACAGCGACCGCGGCTTCAACTTTCAGATAGGAAATTATCGTTCTTTTGGTGGATTTTACGGCAGTACAAATAAATATGGGATTGAGAGTATTGGGGTCTATGTGAAGACCATCACTACTTCCATGATCAATTCTAAAGATTCTTCAGTTTAAGATTGAAAGGGAGGAGGAAGAAGAAGATTAATTCAATATTCTGTTTTTCATATTTGATCAATTTCAATTGATGTTGATTATCTGCATAAATTTTTAGTTCTAGAAAAGAAAGCTCAAGTTTGGTTACTTAACTATCGTCATCATGTTTGGATAAACGTTGTCTAAAAAAGAATGCTCAAGTCTGCCAAGATTGTCACTTATATTTTTTTTTTTTTGTTTTTTGTTTGGAGCAAGTTCAGTCTGATTGATGTGCTTGTTGTCGCCTTCATTTTACCTTTCTTAAGTTGAGGAGTGGGTCTGTGTACCTACTACCCTCTTCTCAGATCCCATTTGTGAAATTTTATTGAGTTTGTGGAGGAGCCGAATATTTTCTATACAAGAGTGCATAATTAATCGACAACTTTTAATTCAATAGCGTTATGCCCCTTACTAGGAAAAAAACACATGAAATAGAGGTCCCCTTTTATCATAGAGGTCCTTACTAATTTTCAAAATCAGCAATGGAATTCTCGAGTAAATATGTTATTCAAAAAAATAAAGATAGTAATAATAACAAAGCAAATAAAATTCTAGCATCCCGTCTTAAGACATTCAACCTTTTGAAAATGTACTTTATTAAGCTCCTAAAAATTGATGTGCAAAAGTAAGCCAACCACACCAGTCTGAAAAATCTGCAAACGTTATAGTTATGGAACAGTCGAATATGTGTAGCCTAAAGCAAAAGATTAACGTGAGGCCTAAAATTTTAAAAGACTGTTGAACACTTTGAAGTAATGAAATTTCGGAGAAATAAGGTGAGGAGAAAGAAGGTGGATGACAGAAAGAGAAAAAATGTAGGGATTTCTAAAATATGAAGAGATTTGGAAAAGAAAAATTAACTTGGACAAACAAAAGAAGGAAATTAAAAAATTTACACGTTATCTAATAAAAGAGTACAACAACAACATACCCAATATAATCCCACATAGTGGGGTCTGGGGAGGGTAGTGTGTACGCAAACCTTACCCCTACCTGTGTGGAAGTACAGAAGTTGTTTCCAATAGCCCCTCGGCTCAAGCAAGCATAGGTACTATCTAATAAAAGAGTAAAAATTAAATTATCAATCAACTTAAATTGAAACATCGAGAAAACAATTTATTTACCCAATTTTTTAGTAAATCGAATTGTTACTGTATTTATATATCTAAAAAGTTTTATTTTCTTTATATGAACATTTTTACTTTTTGTATTAAAAATACTAAATATTACTATTATTTTTCAAATATCCATAAACCTATTATTTCTATAAATAAATGAGAACCCCCAAATTTGGAGACCTAAGACACAAGCCTTACTTGTGATAATAGTAGAGCCGGCCCTGCAAGAGTGCATAATTCTTCGACAACAAATGTCAAAGTGTTATGAGAGAAAAAAGATAATTAGTTACACTATCAATGCAACATAATTAGTTATAGCAACTAATTACTCTATTTTCTATATTAGCATATCACATTTAATATGAAGAACTATCTCAAGTTAACCTAATAATATAAAAATTCTTTTTGTTAATATACAAAAATAAAACTCTTTAAAACATTAGCCTTAAATTTCTCCTCAAGCTTCCTCATATCTTGGACTAGATAATGTTTTCATTAAATGAATAGGAATACATTTTGTTTTATCAAAAGAAACAATATTAAATCAATAATAGGGAATACTACATTATATTGGAAACTGAAATTCAGTAACAACCAAAATTAAATTGAGAGAGAGAACCTAAGCGTCAGATTCCTATTTCAAGATTTAATATACGAATAGCAATGTGTATATAAACGACTCCAAAACTAGTATATAAACGACTCAAAAACTTATTATGAGTAGAAAACATCATTATATAACTTGATAATTCAACTACTCTCAATTGATCAGAAACAAGAAAAGTATGGATATGGTCAAAGTTGGTCCAGCTGGGAAACAAGATGGATCCCAAATTTTTGTTTCTCACTATGATGACAATGTTGTTGGACTACAATTCCTTTTCTTTGAGAACGGGAAACTAGTTTTGTCAAAGAGACATGGTGTTGATAATTTATGTGAAAACTTCAATTCAGTTGACTTGGATTATCCCTCAGAGTTTCTTACTAGTATAAGTGCTTCAATTCAATTAACAAGGAATGGAGATAGTTTTTTGAGCTCAATATCATTTGGCACCAATAAGGGTTCCTATGGACCATTTGGAAAAGCTTCAGCTGCTGGCAATATTTATCACTTCAACTATAACTATCAGATAGGAAATGGTCGTTCTATTGCTGGATTTCATGGCAGCAAATGCCGTTATGGTATTGAGAGTATTGGGGTCTATTTGAAGACCATCACAATCCCCATCAACCATTTTAAAGATCCTTCAGTAAAGGGAGAAGAAGAAGATTATTTAGACAGACTTTAACCAAGAAGAAGTTTAATTCAAGTCTATCTTTTACAAATTTCCAAATATATTTGCTTCTATGCACTTTTTAAATTTCAATGAGAAATATATGCAATTTACTTAATAATTCTGGTTCCTTTAACATACTTTTGTGATATTATCCGCTTTGGGCTTAAACCCGCATGACTTTAAAACGCGTCGCTAGGGTCTAAAATTTGTTAACTCATCATAGTTCTTGTGTTTTGCCAATGTGGGACTCTGTCTAAAGTCTGGTGTGTTACAAATAGCTTCTTGAACTTCATTCTTTTTGCCTAATGGCTCGAAACGTAATATTAGTGTTTTGGTCGAAGTCTCCTATCTCTAGGTCTGAAGTTCGAATTGGTGTGATTTATCATCCAAAGTTGCAAACTTGGAGTTCAAAGCGTTTCAATGGAGGTGTGTGCTTTTAGAAATTCACCGAAGGGGAATCTCGGGTTCAAGTTGTGGAAACAGCAAAAATGCAGGATAAGGCTGCCCTTGTGGCCGGTCCTTCCTTGTACCCCGCACATAGCGGGAGCTTAGTGCACCCACTAAGAAGGTAAAAACGGTCTCACCAAGAAGTTCTTTATTCCCAGAACAGGAACCCAAAGAACTCACTTCAAAAGTGAAGAGATCACAACCATCCTACCACTCCGTGGTACAACTAGTGTAATTTATTATGCAAACTTGGAGTTTGAAGAGGACAATTATGACATTAATGGAATGATATTCGAAACTCTGATGGGACTTACGTTAAATGGTAGATTTTGTCCCTTTTGTTAAGATTCAAACAGAGATACTTGAATTAATATCATAATGTTTGAATTCATTGTTCAAATAGCTCATTAGTTATGCCCTTGGTTGAAGGGTTAAAAATCTTACCAGAAAATTCGAAGCACCAAGCGAAAGAAATCCATTATCTTTAGATATCTGCTATGGAGAAAGAACAGTACTGCAAGAATATTTTTATGTTTACAAGCAACAGTAATGCAAGGTTCTAATAGCTTCATAAATCAAGGTCAGAATTGGTAAGCCTATAGTAACATATATATTTTGCATTTTTGAGGTGAATTAATGTTTACTATTACAATACAAGTAACCAGTACTTTTAATGTCCAAAAGCTTGCTCAACTAATCACATTTAAATGTATGTACAACAACATATGTCAGTTGAAATATCATCAAATAAGGTACCTTGTGTGTTATGACATTACATGCCCCAGATCCCTCGAGCTGATGCCATTTTGTTGCTTGGTCGTGATGTTAGTTCGTATAGTATTCTGGAAAATATGTCCGAGTATCTTGGGTCACCAAAAAGCATCTCCGCAAACGCATTTTCATACACTAGTAGAAGAGGCTTGTTCTGTGGCTCTGATACAAGGTTTTCTAAAATAGTTGCTGCTTTTCTGCAAACTTCGGGTACTGGATGTGGCATCTTAATCACTTTCAACAGTCTATCAATAGCCCTGAAGTTCAATTTAGCGGTTAAGTCATTCAGATTTAAAAATTAATAAAAATATTGTGACTAGGTCAGTTTGCCTGTCTTACCATCGTTCACTAGCCAGCTTCAAACGGCAGTCCATATTTATTTCGGCAAGGTTATATAATGCACCAACAGCAGCCGCTTGAGCATCAGTAGCAGGTTGGCTCATGATATCAACTAAACGTTTATATATCTGCGATGCACAAATTAAGGTCAATGTGTTTTTCGAATATTCACATAGTACATATAAGAACTCTAGAATAAGGGGCTGTCAAAAAGGAGGACATTAACCTGAGAAGCAGAAGGAAGTAGGAAAGGTTCATTATCAGGATTTATTATAACACGACCAATTAATTCAGCAGCAGCACAATGCCAGGCCTTGACAGCAGATCCCAACACTCCCATGACAGCCTGGACTGCACGTTTTTCCCTGGATAAAGATCGAGAAACTCAATTCAATTTTGACTTGCAATAAGCGAAACAAAAACTACAAAGTCGCACACTTACGTCATTTTGATAAACGAAGGTTTCAAGGAACTGAAGATTCGGAGATCTATCAATGGACCTATATTCACTATCGTCTCGAGGGCATTTGTGACAAGTTCTTCATCCTCTGTTAACATAAGAATCAAAAGATGACAAAAAGCATAAGAAGCACGCTCAAAAGAAAATTACAGAAAACACTTAACATTCAGGTTAAGAGAACCACATTTTAACAAATTCTTCTTTGTGCAGAGTAGGACGTATCTAATTTGATCGTCTTGTTTTGTTAAGGGGTCCTTTTATAGGGCAGGTTGGGATGCAGGATGAATGTAAAGTCTATCGAATTATAGAATAAGTCAAGACATCATCGGAGACTAGGAATAATAAAAATAGCCGGGCAGGTATACTAAAGTCAATGTGTTACACAATGGAGTCTTCTAATGGATTCCAAGCCATTTCTTTAGACTTCAACAAGCTAGTAGAGCAACATTATATTCAAGTTTTATATATATATATATATATATATATATATATATATATATATATATATAGAGAGAGAGAGAGAGAGAGAGAGAGAGTACAAAAGCTATATAGCCGACTGGAATATGTTTG